GGCCTGGTATGTCTTCACAGGCATTGGGAAGATGGAGATACCACTTTGGAGGAGTGATCACCAGGAGACCTAGGGGATCCCCTAACTACCCTTTCTCTTGGCCTCAGAGTCACTCCTGCTCCCTTCTCCCTGACTTGGTGCTCACACGCACCTCACTCGGGTTTGTGACCAGGGTCTAGAATGAGCTTGAATTTGAATGAATTGAGTTTGTATTTCTAGCACCCTGGGTTTTTATATGTTTGGTCTTTTTTCTTTTTGTTTTGGTTTGTCACCCTCGATAAAGGAAGTATATTCATCTGTATGCTGATTCCAGCCCTTCTGTCCTGCTCACCACCCACTCTTTCTTCTGGCTCCTCAAATCTATGAGCAGTGAGATGGGGGGAAGGGGACATCTAGGGGCACTGAAGACAAATCCAGGAGATAAGGTTGAGGGTGTCAGAGCTTAGCTGAGACTTGGCCTGGACTAACCTCAGTTGGATAATACTTCTTGTCCTTTCTCCAGTGATGGGAACTTTGTCAAAGCTGAACAAATTTGAATCTGTGGCAGCTTTAATTTTGGGGGGCCTTGCCTCAGGCTCAGTGGAGTTACCAACAGCCTTCAGGGGCGGGGGAGACAAATGGGAGGAATTTGAAAGCAGACCAGGCCGAAAATACCTGATACAAAGTCAACAAGCAAATGTTTTTAAGCAGAAGATTCCCTTTTTTTTTTTTTGAGTCTCACTCCATTGCCCAGGCTGGAATGCAGTGGCACAGTCATGGCTCACCACAACCTCAAACTCCTGGGCTCAGGTGATTCTTCTGCCTCAGCCTCCTGAGTAGTTGGGACTACAGGTGCATGTCCAGCTACGTTTTTTTTTTTTGTAGAGATGAGTTCTCACTATGTTGTCTAGGCTGGTGTCAAACTCCTGGGCTCAAGCAGTCCTCCCACCTCTGACTCCCAAAGTGCTGAGATTATAGGCATGAGCCACTGCACCAGTCCAAAAGATTATTTTTAGTTGTTTTTTGTTGTTGTTGTTGTTGGAGGCTGTTGTGAGCTGTGATCATGCCATTGCACTCCTGAAGATTCTTTTTATTTTTTATTTTTTGAGTTGGAGTCTCACTGTGTCACCCAGACTGGAGTGCAGTGGCCGCTCCTGGCCACTGCAGCCTCGACCTGCTGGGCTCTGGCGATCCTTCCGCCTCAGCCTTCCAAGTAGCTGGAACTATAGGCGTGTGCTACCATGCCCGGCTAATTTTTGACTTATTGTAGAGATGAGGTCTTGCCAAGTTGCCCAGGCGGGTCTCGAACCCGTGGGCTCAGGCAATCCACTCACCTCAGCCTCCCAAAGCACTGGGATTACAGGCTGAGCCACCAAGCCCGTCTCTGAAGATTCTTTTTTTTTTTTTGAGTCAGAGTCTCACTCTGTCGCCCAGACTGGAGTGCAGCGGCCGCTCCCGGCCACTGCAGCCTCGACCCGCTGGGCTCTGGCAATCCTTCCGCCTCAGCCTTCCGAGTAGCAGTAATTACAGGCGTGTGCTACCGCGCCCGGCTGATTTTTTGATTTATTGTAGAGATGAGGTCTCACTGCCCAGGTGGGTCTCGAACCCGCAGGCTCAGTCAATCCACTCACCTCAGCCTCCCAAAGGCGCGGGATTACAGGCTGAGCCACCGAGCCCGGCCTGAAGATTCTTTTTATGAAATGAAATCTTAAACAGAATCCCAACATATAAAGCATAAGATGGAATTATTCTGATCTGATTGAAATAGAGGTGGGGTTTCAGAGATCAACCTGACGTGGAGGCTCTGAGGCATTTTCACAGACTCTGGTACTCTGTGAAGAGTCTGGGAATTACTGGTGTACTCCAACCCCAAGATACCTAAGCTGGAGAGTACAAATGGGCCCAGAGAGCTAGATAATTCTCTCAAGGCCATGTGGTAAGCCCAGGTCTCCTGTGTCCCAGGCCAATAATCCTTTCCTTACACTGCCTCCCTCTCAGCAAAGTAAGACTAGAGCTCCTGGCAGTTGCCTGAGTTGGAGGGCATCTCTATAGGGTACAAGTGACTTCTAATCTGCCAAACAGCTCAAGTCATTTATTGTCAAACCAAGCTGTCCATCCTCAGGCCTTTAGGACTCCTGGGGTCCTGGGAGCCTCATAGTGCACTGTGCTTGATCCGGGTCTTTTTGGGCTTGATGTTCATGCGTTTCCAGACTTCAGCTGTGGTGCGGTCTGCTTTGGTGACGCCACTGAAGTCGAACGTGGTGATACGGGACAGGGTGCACAGCACATATTGCCTGTGGGGAAGACTGGGGCTGGGGGACAGCCCCCCCACCAGAAACCCCTTTCCCCATCCAGCAGTTGCTGCTGTCTTTCCTGACTGCAAGGAATGGAGGAACTTGGGTATAATTTTGAGGAAACTGAGTTTATCCTTACTAATAGCAAGAAATGCTTAAAGGTGTGCTACTCCCTTCCCAGATCCAAGCACGGCAGAAGAATGGACATAGGTGTCTTGTCTCCCTTTCCCTTTCCCTGAGGGGAGCCCAGCTGGACCCCAGCCCCAGGGGTAGGGCACTTACCTATACCCCTTCTCTTCTTCCATGGGGTTCCCATGGAGTGTCAGGCTCCGGAGCCGAGGGAGGACAGCCAGCTTATTCACTTCCCCCAGCTGCTGGATGCTGTTGCCATGTAGGTAGAGGACACTCAGGTTGAGCAAAGTTGTTAGGACCTTTTGGGGGAAGGAAACCATAAGCCAAGCTGGATAGAACCCTGAATTTATGCTCAGGACTGACTCATGGGCTGAGAAGGAAGGATGTGGGGAACAACTTGCCCTCTACTCCGACCCTCCCTCCACAGCTCTACTGTGTGACTCTAATCTACTTTCCTTTACCTTTTAAGGGCTACCGGGCATCACACTGAAAAAAAACTGTGATCTGAGGGTCAGGAGCTATTGGCCTGGTTACCAGCACTGCCACTGACTTGCCTCTCCTGCCTCTCCACTGAGTCTTAGTTGCCCCTTCAACGAAGACCCTTCTGGCTTTGGTGATCTTTGATTCTATCACAGCAAGGGACAGGAAGACAGAGTATCATGCTAGGCACATATGACGCTCTTAAAATATTAAATTGAGACCACCACTCCAGGGGAATTGTTTCCAAGTCACACTCTAGCCCCTTTCCCCCTTACAGGGATCCTGGACTAAAAGAGGCCAAATTTTATTTCTTAAAATTTGAATCTGAGGTCACAGAAAGTAAGTGCTGAACTTTTATACCTACCTCTGTCACATGGTAGGTACCCAGTAGTGACAGCTGCAATTTTACTTCAGCCTCTGATGTGCCAGTTGGTTTTAATATAATCCTTACAAAATTTTTGTGATGCTGGCATATTATCCCATATTTCAGACAAAGACTGAAGTTCTGAGGTTAGGTAGCTTGCCCAAAGCCACACACTAAGAGGGAAACTCAGGATTTGAACCTACATCTGTCTGATCCCCTAGCCTTGTGCTTTGGCCTGCACCATGCTGCCTCACAACTTTCTTGACAACATGTGGGAGTGGAGAGGTTGGGGATTGGGCAAAGTAGCTTGGGCCCTCCCAGCTGGATTCCTAGGGCTAGGAACTCACAGGGTCGATGGAAGTCAGATCATTGAAGGACAGGTCAATCCAGGCCAGATTCTCTGGGTGTTCCAGCAGCTGTGAAGCCACTTGTTTGAAGTCTTTCAGATCACTGAGGACATTGTTATTCAGCCACAGGGACTGGGTCAGTGACTTCCCTGACTTTGAATGCTTCAGTGGTCGTTGCCCTGTCCTTGGCTCCTCACTCATCAGATCTGTGGAAACAAAGTGAGGCTTGGTTATATCATCTTTGCTTTTCTGGCTTTAGGGAGTGGGAAAGGACAGAGCTGGAAAGTTTAGCAGCCTAAGCCATAGCTGGAGGGGGCTGTCAGGGCTATAGCTTGCCCTGTGCTTAAGTCTAGTGCAACCCTATCCCACAGGTCCCTGCTGTCAGAGTAAGTTGGGATTAAGGGCCAAAGACTTTCTATTCCAAACTGTTGGCTTTCTGAGTCACATGGTCTTCTCATGTCTATTTTATCATTGGGTCTTTATACCAATCCTATGTGGGGTTGGGGTATGGCAAAAACACTTCCATTTTATACATGAGGAAACTAAGAACCAGAGTTGTTGGGCTTCAACTAAGAAGATGTTAGCACAAAACCTGGAATTATTCACTGGTGGAGACTATATAGTTCACTGCTATGCAATATACTCTGATGTCTTCCCTTTCTTTCCATCGATGTTGAGCAGCTACAATGTGCTAGATACTGGGTATACCATGGTGAATAAAATGAGAGTTCGTATGCCAGGCTGTATATGAGTAAGAGGGCAGGGATGAAGCAGGCATTTGTGCCTTGGAGCTTATATGGGCAAGATGGAAGCAAGCAGCAATATAGTGTGATAAGTGCTACATAATAGTTATGGCAGCACAGAAAAGGGTCTCCTTGCCCAATCTGGGAACTCAGGGACGTTTTCCAGGGAAGGTGAAGCTTAGCCAAATCTCAGTGGATTAGGCAAAGAAGAGTAAAAAGGATGGAAATAGCATGAGCAAAAGTATAGAGCAGCATGGGTAGGGTGTGTGTGTGTGTGTGTGTGTGTGTGTGTGTATGGATGTATGGTACAAGGGGGACAAGGAAGAAAAAAGAGGAACCCAGTCATAAAATATTGAATACTAGGCTAAGGACCTTGGGCTTGACCCTGTAAGTGATGAGAAAGCACTGGTAAAGGAGATGATTCAAATTGTTTATTTCAGAAAGATCCCTCTGAAGCTTCATTTTGGAGTATGGATTTTAGGGGTAGGTGGGACTGAATGACCAAACTGGCTATTTCATTCATCCAGGCAAGAGATGAGAGGGACATACAATCAACATGATTTGGTTCACTGGATGTAGACTGATATAAAGGCAAAAGAATATTCAAGGGGTAGTGGCCAGTTTTTTTGTTTGGGTGACCAGGAGTGACCTAACTGGTAAGGAATTGCAAAGAGAGAAACAGGGCTGGAAAGGCTTGGCTTTGGTGTGTTTGAGGTTCCTGTAGTAGAAAAAGGTGGAGAAGCCAAGAAGGCAGTTGGCATATGAAGGTCTGAACCTTAGGAGATGCAGACTTGAGAATCATTAGCATGGAGGGTATAAAGTTAAGGAACTAGATGAGAATCCTCAGGGAGAATGAGGGAAGAGAGGAAAGAGTATGTTGAAGAACTTAATAAATGACCAGGCATGGTAGTTCCCAGCACTTTGGGAGGCTGAGGTGAGAGGATTCGAGACCAGCCTAGGCAACTTGGTGAGACCTCATCTCTACCATAAATCAAAAAGTTAGCTGGGCATGGTGACACATGCCTGTAGTTCCAGCTAATTGGAAGGATCACCTGAGCCCAGCAGATCAACGCTGCAGTGGTTGTGAGTGTGCCACTGTACTCCAGCCTGGGTGACAGAGAGAGACTCCAACTCAAAAAAAAAAA